ATAATTGGTTTCTGCACCATTTAAAAAATGAATTATTTAACCTTTTATAGGGTACTCATTGAAGTAGTTTAAAAAATGTAACACAGGGTGTTATTGTGGAATATAATCAAAAGTGTATTTCTGTTTTAATTTTCACAAATAGTTACTTTCATGCAGAAAATCTGAGAAAAAGTGATCAATGGGTGTTGGCCCTGTTTAGGTCAAAGAAATCCCAAAATAAAACACATGAACAAGTTAAATAATCATCATTTTTTAATAATATAGATGATTATGAGACACCTTAGAACATCATATCGCTGTAGAATAAAACAAAACATATCTAAATATATAAAACAGATTACTGTAGAATATTTTGCAAGGTAACTGAACAATAGATACCATTTTTGATCAAATATAGATTGTTAGAATATTTTTGGATATTCTAAGATGGTGATATTGGTTGGCACAATAACCGTCCTCCATTTTCCATAGAAGTCTTAATTTAAAACTCCAAAATATAATCAAAATGATAATTGTTGTTGTTACTTTTACCATAAAGATTACAATTATTTCTAAAAAAAATACAACAGATTTTACCTGATTTACATAATTTATTTTACTTGTTCAGGGCATATCATCAAATAAGGCAGCTTAGATTTTTGTGCTATGATTTCACCACCTTAAGTTTAACACTTACAACACATTTATCCTTTTTTAGCACTACTAGTCAATCTTGTGATGTGAGAGTTTCATAAACCTAGCATAGTTGGTTTTAGAGATCTGAAAAAAATAAAATAAAATAAACTGCTATGGATCACGAATCAAGCAGGTCAACTAATTTCAAACCTCCCTTTCCCTTCTGTACGAGCGCTCTGTGATCAGGAAAGCCACACGGATCACGGAGGAACCTTCTCATGCCCTCCACCAATCCTTCAGTCTTCTCCCATCAGGCAGGCGATCCAGAGTACCACTGTCCAAAAAAGCAATCCATAAGAGATCATTCATCCCATCAGCAATCACAGCCCTCAACAGACACAGAACTTCAATAACCCGCAAATGATTTTATGTGTTTTAGGCATAAAGTTGCATCTTTGGTTTTATGGCTTTTAAGCTTATATCTGTAGTTTTTTAAAGATTTTTTATTGTATTTACTGTTCTATGAAAGTGTGAATGATGAGGTGGATGATGATGATGAGCCCTGTTGAAAGACACATTTCTGTAACCGCTTGGTGTCGGACAATAAAGTTTTTCTATTCTATTCTAAACACAAGAGGAGACTGAGGAGTTCTCTGGTTCTGCAGACACACTAATATTTGGTGCGTTATAGCCTCACACTGATTGGTGGAATGGTGCCATGGCGCAAACCGTGACTAGCTTGATCTCTGGTGATTGTTTGGGTGAAATCCTGTAAGTTTGTGAAAAGGTACACCAACATCATTTATAATGTGAGTGGAAGTGTCTAAATATGGGTTAAAAATCATGTGATTCCCTGATTATTTTTTTCATTTTTTTTTACAATCTACAATGAAAATTACAGACCTCATCTTCCTAAGTGGGAAAACTTGCCCAATTGGCAGCTACCTAATACATTTCTTTGCCCCACTGTAAACACACACACACACACACACACACTCTCTCTCTCTCTCTCTCTCTCTCTCTTTCTTTTTAAACACAGGAAAGTTTTTTTACCTTGCTGACAGGTTTGATCACTTCTGCGATCTTCATCAGAGCTAGGCGCTAATGGCGGTGTCACTTCCTTCTCCATTTATACGGCGGTGTCGCCCTCTGCTGCCCACGCTCTCCTCACCGATGACACAGTTCCATGCATGATCTATTGTGTAGGCCCCCCTCGGCTCTGTTCATGGTTCCTCTAGTCTGGCCTGCCAGGATACTCCTCTGTTTAATTCTGCACAGAGAAAGGGTCTGGCAGCTCTCCAATTCAAATAACCCCACCCCCTTAGAATTCTAACTAAGCCAATCAGCGCTGAGTAGCGTACGTCACACACAATAACGCCGAGTTTGTCGAGCATGGCGACTGAAGCGGCGTTCTCTGCGGCTCTTTCCTCTGTTCTGAATGACTTGGACACATCTTTAAAACAACAAGTAGAAGTCCTAAAAGCCTTTCTGCTAAAGAAAGATGTTTGCGCTGTCGCCAGACACCATTTTTGACTACAGATAAAAAACTAGTGTCGCGGACGTCTCACACACAGCGACGCTCAGTTTCTCATAAACAACGAAGACAGCGGTGGAGTTCTCTGCGGCTCTTCCCTCTGTTCTAAATGACTCAAATGTCTTTAAAACAACAAGTAGAAGCGCTAAAAGTCTTTCTTCTAAAAAAATAAAAGATGTTTGTGCTGTCGCCAGATGCGTTTTTTTTTAACTATGGCTAAACAAAACTACAGCGTCGTGTGATACAGTCGGCATTTCCGTCATTTTTTCTGATTGGTTATTTTTGAGCTGCCTAGCCCCGCCCCTCATGTGCCTCTCTGCCAGTGAGTTACCAGACTAGTTCTCTGTGCAGAATTAAACAGAGGACGAGTCTCGCAGGCCATCGTTCCGCGCATGGACGTAATTTTCACTTTAGAAGTGGAAAGGACACGGAGTGGGGGGGGGGGGGGGGGGGGGGGCTATCTTTACAGTATGCTCTAATGGGAAACAGGCTTCAACACAAACGGTTGTTTTCTGCTTGGTCCTAGAGCTCAACCAGTGTCAATTTAATATAGCGTAATGTTGTTTTTGGATGGTAAAAAGTGCAGGGGTCAAAACTTGACTTTGGAAAAAGTGGGGGGGACATGTCCCCCCTGTCCCCCCCAAAAATTACGTCCATGGTTCCGCGCCCACGTCTCCATATTCCTATAGCTTCCTTCATCCATCTTTTATATTTCTGTTGTTCGGTGTTTATGATCCTTGTATTGTCCCAGTCCGTTATGTGGTTTTCTCTTGTGCAGTGATCTGTTGTGGTTGATTTCTGTATTGTGCTTTCTGCTTCTTGTCTTGCTGCTCGTGTGTCATTGGCTTGTTTTCTTCTCACACTTTTTTCTATGCTCTATTGTTCTTGTGTTGAGTTGGCGTCCGGTTTCTACTATATGTTTTATTGCAGTTTGCATGGGATTTCATAAAGGACTCCACACTTACGTCCTGTTTATAGCTTGTCCTTTGGGTGCACTAGTCGTTTTCTGTTGTGTATGGTTTTGTTGTGTCTCTTCATTGTTGCTATTATTTTTTCAGTAATGCCTTTGATGAGGATCTATGATTTGCATTAGATCATGCATGGGACTGCGTCATGGGTGAGGGCGACACCATCCTCTGCTGACAGCGCTTGGCTTCCCGGGCCTGAAGGCTAGGAAGGAGATCTGGCCGTCTGGCTGGGGGTCTGGGGTGGTGGGTCGCTTTGCTCGGCGTTGGGCGGGAAAGCCTGCTCATCAGCACCCCAGCAGAAAGGGACAAACTCTGGGAACTGGTGATGGTTGTACCGGGACCAGAGTGAATTGGGTGTGTATGGGGAGCATGAGTGGGTGTCTGGCGTGCATTTTTGTGAGTCTTAGGTTGTATGTGTGTGTGTGAGCATGAGGGAGGGTGTGTGTGACTGTGTCTGTGTATGACTGTATATGTCAGGTGGGGCCTTTGACTCCTCCCCTCTCCTGGTACTTCTTGTGCTGCTATACATCGTCGCCTACCCTCCCCCTGTCACATTTGGTGTGGAGTGTGGTGCCTTGGTCTGCCTGAGTGTTCGCGGCTCGCAGGTCAGGGGGTTTTAAGATTTTTAGCGTCTGCCTAATCGATCCCGGTGGCTGCATGGTGGGATCTGGGTCCCTGGGCTCTGTTGGGTCCCCAGCGGGGGTGGTCGTCCCTGAATTGTGGGTCGCTGGGTCCCGGGCTCGGCCGGCTTGGGGGTGGGAGGCTGTGGGTGGGCCTGTGGGCTTGCCGCTGATGTCCCCTGGGACTCTCCTAGCTGATGATTGCCCCCCCCCCCCCCCCCCCCCCCCCCAGGGCAATCCTCTGTGCCTCTCAAGGGGGGGCAGGGGGTTTTCTGGTCGCAGTCGCCCTGGGGTCCCTGTGCTCTGGGGCAGCTCCTGGATCTCTGGGACTTGGAGCTCCCTCCGTCTCCTACACATCTTTAGGGGGCAGATCTGTGGCCCCTCACACTCTCTATTGGACACTCCTATAGAGAAACCTTACATATACAAGCGCGTGTACACACAGGTGTTCACATGGTGCTCTCATAAGTATGGACTTGGGCACGTTCAACACGTCTTAAGGCTATGGTTGGCACTAAATGCACTGTGATTCATTATCATGTGATTGTTCAGTTAAACAATGTTGATTATATATTTCCTCATCAGGTTGACGCAGTGATAGCTTGCTCCTGTTGTATTGTTGTGTGTCTTCATTGTTGCTATTATTTAACCCTTACCCTACCTACCCCCCTTCTGTCTCTTCCTTTCTCTTTCACCTCTGACTCCGTGTCTGGTCGGAATTAAAAAGCATTCAAAAAACAATAACAATAAAGTTTTAAGTATCAGGCGTGACATTAAAGCAGACGCTTTGATGCTCCACCTGAGAGTAAATCTGTGAGGCTTGTTACCGGCATTCAGACATCAGTTCTGTCTGCTTCACAGCCAGACAGGACACGGTAAAGAAAAACTTTAAAAAAATAAAATAAAGAGAGAAGGAGAAGGAAGTGACGCCACTATTAGCGGCTAGCTCTGATTAAGATCACAGGAGTGATCAAAACTGTCAGCAAGGTAAAAAAAAACCTTTCCTGTGTTTAAAAAAATGTCCTAAAAATACATTCAGAAGAAAAACACAGAATTATTATAAAAAAGATGTTTAAAGAAACTTGGTTCTCTCCGTTTATCCACCATAGAAATGACATCTGTTTGTTTTCAGGTCCTCTCACACACCAGCTGGTCTACGCTGAGGGCTGCTTCACCTAAACCTGTACTAGCCCGCATCCAGACCTGATTATGTCACTTGGGTGTGATGACTGTGTTTAGTTAAACAAAGGAGTAGAAGCAAGGTAAGAAATATTTTTTTAATAAAAAAAATACCTTTACAAATTTGGAAACAAGAACTTAATCAACGTCAGGAGGGAGCAACGTGGGGCCTTTAACAGGTCGGGGAGAAAAGTCAAATAAAAGCAGAGATGGCACACTGGAGGAGAAACAGCAGGTAAAAAGCAACTTTAAATGTTCTGGACTAAATTAAATCTGCAAAGAAACAGTTTGCTAACATCACAACAGGACGACATGGCTTTGATGGAAATCAAAACTAAAGCAGCTTGGTTTGAAGACTAACAGCCCACGGATACTTCCAGCCAGCTGGTGGTTCCGGTCCCTAACCCTAAACATGTCTCTTTAGACGGGAGAAGGCAGAATTCAGCCCTAAATCAGAAAATTCCCTCTGAATTATTCTCACTCAGTGTTTAATACTGACAGGAATGGAACCAGGAAAGCCACGAGGGTGTTTTTTTTTTTTTGGAGGGGGGACAATAATACTACAGAATGCTGTTACTATACTATAATTGACTGGGGAGTTTTCTCTTGTAGAGGATCAAAGTAAAATATCACCAAACCTTTAAATAAATATAACAAATACAGAAATGTGCATTCCACTTCCGAATGGGACCAGTCTAGCGGGGAGCCGAGTTTATTCTGCAGTTGTGTTCATTACTTTTCTTTGGCTTCAAGCAGAACACAAGTCCATATATTGACTAAAACAGGTGACATGTTTTCCTGGATTTGCCTTAACAGCCAATTTAAGAATGTGTTTTATCGTGGGTCCCAGATGTTCTATAGTCTTGTCGGAATAGTTGTCCGTAAGTGACGATACAGCTGCCAAAAGAGGAGTTTGCACTTTGGGTGATATTTATTTTAAATTCAGCTTTTGAACTCTATATGTTTGATATTGTAGCTAGTGGGTTTTGTGACTTGTTTTAGTCCCAGCTGGTGGATGAGGATGTTGTTTCGTTTAGCCTAAACTTCTCCGTGTCTGTGGTAAGTGGACTCTCATCTCATTTGTGCTTCACTCTTCTGTCCTCAGGCTGAAATCTTCTGTTTGGAGCGACAGACAGAACCAGTCAAGAGAAGATCCCGCTCCTGATTATGTTGCACTGAGGATAAAGGTCCAACCAAAGCTCCGCACCGTGCCATTTCTGTCACCAACTGCAAACAGACAGAAGCTTCAGATTAGACGGAGAAACTTCTGAGATGAGGTGATAGGGATGTTCCGATCCGATCACATGATCGGAAATCGGCCCCGATCACGTGGTTTCAGACTGATGGGACTCAGGCTTTACTTTCCAACCCAAGCCCAGATCGGGAGTTGGATACTGGGTTCAAATTACAGGAGAGCAACTTGGTTCTCCTCAAAGGTTGTCGGCTCCCCTGATGCCCTTAACTTACACACCCAGAAGGAGCACCAAAGAGATCCAGTTTCTACCTACATTATATTATTTACATGGACTCAGTGTAGCGCGGATTCTTTTGAGCAGGGATGCAGAGCAGCAGGCAGACCGCTGATTATTCAAGAACTCCAGCCACGTTCTGCACACGGCCACAGTAACATTTTCTACGTTTCTAAGTGGCGTCACCAAAAAATATATAATTAACACACAGTCGTTCGTGTCCGTTCATTTTCTCTCTGGTAAGTTCTGTCTGTATTTGAGCATGACGTGTGGACACGCTCGCGCTGCAGCGTTCGTCACTGGCTCAGCCGGACAGCGCGGCGCAAACACTCTGCTTTTTTTTGCGGTCAATAGAGCTCCGGACCCCACGTGACTCTCAGTTAGTGGACGCCATTTTGGCATGCAAAAAAGGTAAACAAACACGGATGTAACCATGAACATGAACGGGATCCGCTTGGATTTTACTTCGTCGGAGTTTACTTCACACTTTAAAACAGAAGAAATCGTTTTATATAGTCAGAAATGAAATAGACTAAACATCTCCGACCCTTACCGTGCCCCTGGGATACTTTTTAAAAATGCCAGAAGATGTCGGAGCGGACTTCTTACCGGCACAACACCGGACCTGGCCGGGGGAATCCCAAGGGGTTGGGGAGAAGGCCGGAGGAGCTGGGGAGAAGGTCTGGGACTCTCGACTCTACTGCCCGCTCTGACTCCAGAAGCTGTCGGAGCGGGCTTCTTACCGGCACAACACCGGACCTGACCGGGGAACCCCTTGGGATTTACCCGGAGGAGCTGGCTCCGGCGGCTGGAGAGAGGGAAGTCACGCTACTGCCCCCACAACCCGACTCCGGATACGCGGATGAAAATGGATGGATGGACGGACAAATAACAGATTTACACGTAAGTAGTCTCGGTGTGTGATCTGACAATTGATCAACCATTGCTTAAAAATTAAATACAGCTTAGCCGGTTAATTGCTGTCATCATAAAATACGTAAGCGGCAGCACGCAGAAATCACGAGGCAACGTTTTACGTGATGTTTACTTGTTGCTACGAGTAATAAGACAGAAAAAGCCACGCCAAAATAAGTTTAGGAAGCCCACTAAGAATCATAATAAAAGCATTTAAAATAAATACCATACCCAGTTGAGGAAATGTTGGTTTAAGTACCTGATATGAAGTGGTCGATGCATAAGTGAAAACCTTTACTCTCTGGATCCCACAGCTTCATTTCAGCCCGGTCACTAGCGCGTTTTATTACAATGATCCAACGTTTGCGGCGCTCCGGATCTTGGGGAATCCTGCAGATGGCTCATTCCTTATGTCGTCTGCGTCTGTTCTGCATCCTGGGGCACAACAGGAATCTACCATATTTCCCGTTTGATTGAGTTTTCTGACAATAACAAATAGCCCAGCTGCCGGCTTCTGCATGCCAATATGGCGCCGTTTCGATTTGAACTGTTGCATGCCGGGAGAAGTGACGTCAACTCCCGGAGCTCTATAGATCAATTTGATCTGCTAGTTAAAAAGTGACTTGTGAGGTGAAAAAGAAGGAAGCTGACAGGAGTTTTTCTGGAGGACTGGGAGAGGCAGGAAGTTCAGAGACAGACAGGACAGAAAGATAAAAACCAAGAAAACAAAACAAAGTTCTTAAAAAATAAAATGTAGGTAGATTTATCCCACAACACGTTTGTAACTGTATAAAGCAATAACTTATCAGCATGTAGTATTTATATAGTTGATACAATTCAGATCATCTTCAAAACTCCGTCCCATGCCCAGGGGCGTATCTAAGCATTTTGGGGGCCGAGGCAAAGTCGACCCCTGCCAGGTATTTTAAGTTGAAGTGCTTTCTGTTTTTATATTAGACTTTATATATTTGCAATAAAGTCCAAAAGTGAAGAATTTATGTTATTTATTACTTGATTGTTCAAGCTACCTCACAGAAGTGATCTGTTGTTAAAATTTTAAATAAAAAAGTAATTAGATAAAAAATAAGGAACATTGTAAAACTGTTTCTTCCTTTTCTTCTTATTTTTTTATGTATCGAAAGTATCGGATCGGGACTCGGTATCGGCAGATTCTCAAAATCAAATGACTCGAACTCAAGGGCAAAAAAACCTGATCGGGACATCCCTAGTGATAAGTTCTCAGTGACTTTCACATCGTCTTCCACTTCTAAGGGGAGTGATGAACACTTGCTGCACTAGATGAAGATGAGGCGAGACGTTTACTCATAAAACAGCAAACATCAGTCATCAGATATGATAATGTGTCTTGCTGCTCAGCAGTCACACTGATCTGTCTGTCTGCAGGCTGTCGGTCTGTTTCAGCTGTCGGTGGTTCCATCTGTATTTATCTGTTTGGGTTAAATGACATCTGTTTTCTTCAGCTGCTTCATGCAGCACGTAAACGCCTGTAACCGCCTGAGCAGGACGGGACATCGCCTTCAGAGGTCATGTGACACCACTGAGCTTACCTTCATAGGAAACTACATTCACCTCATTAAAAGGTTGGGTGATGTCCAGTTTTACTCACCTGCCACTTGTGCTGACTTTTAAGGGTTTTTGAAAAGTGGGTTTTGATGGAACACAGAATTGTCTACAGTGTCGTCTTCAACCAAGACCCACTCCCTACCTCAGACACTACAATCATCCACTCCAAAAGAAAAATGTATAACAAATGTATGTACATGTTCATTTATGGCCTCTGCTCCCAGAGTAATCCTGTTTGCTGTCTCAGTTATCTCCACTAAGGGAAGCATTAGCAGAGGCATCGGCCCATGTGTTATGCTGCCGATCCCTCTGATTGGCCCAGTTGCATGAGAACAATGACGGGTAACTGATAACCACACCCTGTTTTTCCTTCTGGATCGCATACACACTAAGCTGCTGCATGCTGGAGGCAGACACACTGCAGCTTTAGAACCAAACTTCACTTTTCATTTTCTAGTGCAACAAGACAAGTGAGCCTCCTTAATGCAGCAGCAACAATAAAGCATCATTATCAGCTCTCCCGTCAGATAAGTAGTGCATCAAGTCAGTGGGATGAACAGAACCGGGCCAAGATAAAAGGCCAGGTTACGTCACTGTCAGCAGGTCCCACCCGCGAAGTCTCAGTATAGCATATAACAGTAACAAGAAAATAAGCTAAACATGAAAAAATACACAATGGGATAGAATACAGCAATATGCAAACTATAAAAACAGCAACACATTTAAAGTGAGCAGTGTGTATCCAGAATCTGAGATTCGGTGTGCAGCAACTGTGGTGGAATGATGCAAGAGTCTGACTGCATCAGAGTAAAAGCTTCTCAGTTTAGATGCTTTGCGCGAATGCAGCGTAGCCTCCTTCCACAGGGCGACAGGGTGAACAGTTCATGGGAAAGGTGGGAAAATCCTGGACAAGGCTGGTGGTTCTTAGCCTGGCCTGCCAGACTCCTCCTCTGTTTAATTCTGCACAGAGAAAGGGTCTGGGAACTCTCCTATTCAAATAACCCCACCCCATGAGAATTCTGTCTGAGCCAATCAGCGCTGAACAGCGTGCGTCACACACCACGACGCCGAGTTTGTCATAAACATGGCGACTGAAGCGGAGTTCGCTGCGGCTCTTTCCTCTGTTCTGAATGACTTGAACGTCTTTAAAACGTCAAGTAGAAGCGCTAAAAGCCTTTCTGCTAAAGAAAGATGTTTGCACCTTTGCCAGACGCCATTTCTGACTACAGGCGATCCCTCGTTTATCGCGGTAGATGCGTTCCAGACCTGGCCACGATAGGTGAAAATCTGCGAAGTAGGGACACCATACAGTATTTATTTAACAGGTATTCAGTATTCAGACTTTTAAAACCCTCCCTTTACATAGCACTGTATTTTTACTTGTTTTTTTATAGTCTTATTACAAAAAGTGCATTTTATGATGAAATTGATAAAAAAACAGGAATTTCTTGATATTTCGCATAGAAAAATACCGGGAATCGGTGAAAAATTTCCACGAATCGGCGAATTTCCCTTGAATAAGGCTCCAAAGAAAAAATCTGCGAAGTCATGAATCCGCGATAAACGAACCGCGAAGTAGCGAGGGATCACTGTACAGCTAAAAAACTACAGCGTTGTGCGGTACAGCCTGCATTTCCGTCTTTTTTCTGATTGGTTATTTTTGAGCTGGCTAGTCCCGCCCCTCAAGTGCCTCTCTGCCCGTGAGTTCCCAGACTCTTTGTGCAGAATTAAACAGAGGACGAGTCTGGCAGGCAAGGCTAGGTGGTTCTATCAGCACATCTGGGGATGGCTAGCCTCACCTGTCTTCAGAGCCGAATGAAACACCCCCTGTAGGAACCCCCTCTGCACCAATACTAAGAACTAAACCAGCACTTCATTGGGCCATCCAAGGTACTCACTCGAAACTATCAAATAAATCACTGCCTTCACCCACATTCCTCCCTCAGAATCAATCTAGTGTTTATTGGCTCACAGCTAAAGCTAGCTTTCATCATCTCGCACATCCTGGACACTCGCTGGAGGGGTCACGGCGAGCTGTATTTGGTGATTTGGACAGTTACGGACCAGGGGAGCTCTCCTGGGACCCTGCCTCCATTCTGGATCCCTCCCTCAACAACACAGGACCATCAGGAGCATGTCCTGGGGGTGGGGGGTGGATACTGTAAGGCTATAGCGGTCTAGCGCCATGCTTCACCTAATCCAGGACTCCGGTCACACATCCGTCAACGATCATTCATTCATCTCTCTGAACATGGAAGCATCCTCCCCTCAACAGGTCAAGCATCCCGTCGCATGGGTCTGATCAAGGATCCAATCACAGAGATCCATTCAAATCTTTCCAGTGGTTTGTGAGATGTTTTATTAACACTCGAGACAAATGAACGCACACATAACACACAGGCAAAAACATTATCACCTACTTCGCAGCGGCGAGCGACACCGGTGAAAATGAATAACTGTCCTTTTTGAGACAACAATCATTGTTGACATTTGACTCTGTACCTTTACTTTAGAGTGGATCCATAATCACCTAACATCTGAGAGCTGGCCATTTCCAGATTCCAGTGGCACGCCTCCAGCAGCTTTAAACAGTCCGCCCTGCTTCCCAGACCCAAAGAGGACAACCACTCCACCTGCAGAGAGGCAGAAAACAGACCAAACCTTCAAACTAAACACCTCAGCTCACCTTTCTGAAGCAACAGTGAGAGTAGATGTATTTCAGTCGCCATCTCATATCGTTTGCTGCTATTATTAAGAGACAGTGAAGAGTTCTCCTGTGTTTTGTGTGAGCACATCTCCCATCCCCTCACAGCAAGCCCAGTCAGGTAAACTGTGTCTGTTAGTGATGTGTCGGTCGCGAACGAAGCGGCTCTAAGAGCCGGCTCTTTGAAGTGAACGACAGGAGCCGGCTCGTCATTGGGAGCCGTCCCCCCCCCCACGCCTTGGTGAAAGCTACAGGCGATTGGTCAACATGTGTAACTGCGTGTCCAGACTGTCCACACACAGAGCAGTAGGGGCGGGGAAGAGGGAGGATCAGACTCAGACACACAGCAGAGCACATGCGGGTGGAGGGAGACGAGAGGGAATGAGGAGGAGGAAAAATGCGAGAGGGAGGAGAGCGTGACGAAGACGGTGAGAAAATGAGCGTCAGCTTAAAGTGTTCAGTTATTAAATCCATAGAAATGATAAATATTTGATATATTGCTTTTTTTACATTAGTAAATCATTTTACTTATAGTTTAGCATTATTTTGGTTATAAATGTACTCTACGCAACAAAAAATCTGAGGAGCCACTTGGGAGCTGAAAGAGCCGGCTCTTTTTGGTGAGCTGAGCCAAAAGAACCGGCTCTCTAAAAAGAGCCGGAATTCCCATCACTAGTGTCTGTGTGTTTCTGATCATTTACAGCTAGCTCACTGTGGCACTGATGCCACAATCTGTCCTTTAGGACCAACAAAGCTCCATTTGATAAGACTACAAACCGCATTTATCCGGTTTTTAACGGTCGCTTTGAAGCCGTGTCCTGCAGTAGAATAGACATTAAAACTCCTGCAGCTCTTCAAGGAGTACGTGGAAACTTGTTTGTTTTACCCAGTTTATTGTATTTGTTGGACGTTTCTAGATGTATTTGGCATGATTAGCAGGAAAGAAAGAACTTAAGTGTGAAAAATGTCAGAATGAACTCCACTAGAAATGATCCAACAGGAAGGACTAAATGCTGTCCTGAGAGTTAACCCAGAGCTGTACGGCTGTAGTCAGAGCTATTTCTGCTCAACAGATTATAAGTAAGAGTCTGAAAAAGAAGGCAGACCCCGCTACAGTCGCATGTAAGAGTCATTCACACAGAAAATATCTGTAACTGTATAAATGGATGTATAAAACATCCCCGTGAAGGTGGATTGTTGTCATGGTAGCAGCACAACAGAATGCTAAGTGGAGAGGGTTTCATGTTTCATTAGGTATCTCTCACGTGAACACAGGCATGATTTATAATATTAGTATTAATGCAGCATTCATGGGGTTTACTGAGCTGGTATGCCAACTCTCAGGCTAATCAAACTGATTTTAATGCACATCAAGGAATTAAAATGTGTTCTGAAGGAAAAAAAAACACTTTCAAACTGATTTGACTTTTCTAAAATTTGTTTTGTTTCTGAATTTAAATGCTTGTTGTTTGATTTCCCTCCACCTGCACAGCAAACAGCTGCAACAGGTCATCCAATCAGATTTTAGTGTAAGAGTACAGCTGCAAGTCACTCAATAACCTGGGTGAATGCAGTCATCATTATTGTTGTTTTAGTGTATGCTTAAAGGAGCATTATGGAAGTTTGACAGCCAAAACATGTATAGGAATAATAAATGTCTTCTTCATACATTCTCCTGCAATGCCCTGGTCCTGTAGAATGAGCCATGGCATTTTTATTGTGATTGCCTGTTTTTCTGTAAAATCACAGAAAAAGAGAGCTGCTTGGGTCGAGCAGGCTGCTTCATGCGCGTTCACGCTCAGGCACAGCCCGTAGCATTTGATATTTGTAGCTTTAGCATCAGAGAGAGAGGCAGTGCCACTTTGTCGCTGTTCCTAACGCCTAGTGACAAAGCTAGCTACATTTCTGAGGACCCTTAGCTACTTTCTGTAGAACTTTCTTCTAGATATTTCCTGCAAATTAGCAACAAAATAGCCATTTTCACTCCGAACCGTTCTTTGAACGTTGTTTCAGCTGTCATCAAGGATATAAACGTTACAGATACAATAGAAATCACTGGCGCTTTAGCTCACCTAGTAAGACGTTGGACTCTCATGCTGAAGACCTGGGTTCGATTCTGGATGTAAACATAGTTTATTTAGAGTTTCTTTTTTACATTAATGGTATGGTTTTTTTTTACAGTAAGATGCCCAAATTTTTATTTGAGACTCGCCGAACGGCATTGAATTCGCAGATAAAAAAGATGTGGGTTCAACTTTCATTTTGGAACAATTTTTCAAGCAAGGGAAGGGAATGATCTGAGCATGCAGGAGGACTGACCCATCATAAACCTTTGTTGGCTGTGCTGAAGAGAAAGGTACAGAACCAAATTATTTAATTAATTAGCTGCGCGTTCTCCTGTCCTCTGTCCTCCGGGCCCCCCCCCCCCCCCCCCCCCCCCCCCCCCCCACACACACACACACACACAAGGGACTGTCTCAGCTGTTATTTTCGTTAAGGAGTGTGCACGTACAGCATGCGCGCCTCGTGCACGAGCCTACTATTGAAGCTGCCGTTACGCTTTGGCCTGAGGGGGCAAGTGTGAGCATAAAAATTCAAAACTCTGTAAAGTCCCTTTAAACACACACACACACTTGCCTGATTTGAAGTAATCATCCCCCTGAACACGTCTGGACCTTTTCTCATTTTAAAGCATGAGGAAAGATGGAAATAGAGTCTAGGAAAAATCCTGATCAATCAAACTCTGAATGCAAAATCAGGTAAAACAGAAACCAAAAGAGCTGAACAATCATAAAACATAATGATTAAAATTTTGTTAAACTCTTCAAAATTTTGCGCTGAAGATGAAGGAAAAGGAAATATGTTATATTTAAACAACCTCTTTTGAACTAAATTAACAGTTAATCAATTTGGGGGCTTCTTTAAAGGCGTGAAACACTGAAAACCCTTTTTTGTGATTTTTTTCTGATTATCATCAATCCCTCTGAGTTTTTCATTCAAGCTGACCATGAAAATAATCTCCTATACCTACCTTCTGCATTAGCTTCTGATAGAAAATAGATGGTGAAACTCTAGGATAAGAAAATGACTTTCATCCGGACCAAGAGGTGGTCCCTTGATAAAATTCTGCTTAGGGCCCCACTTTGGCCAGGGGCAGCACTGCAACAGGTACAGATAATGTGACAACATGAACAGTTTGTGTTATGGCCGAACGATCTATCTTTTTAGACCGAAATTGCGATTTCAAACAGCACGATCATGTGACCGCCAAAGCTGCTGTTTTTAGCGGTTTTGACTGATCCAGGATCTGTTGTGTCAACTGTTTTTACATCCGGGGATTCCCCCTGTGTTACTGTGTCCGCAACCACAGACATGTATATAAACACTAGAGCATGTACTATTTAAATAAGTCTAACTTGCTCAATTTTCAACCGATTCTCAAACGGTTTGATTTGTTATAAATGCCAGAGATGTGTCTGTGAAATAGGATGGGTTTGGCTCCGAAAATCCTGTTATTTCACTCCACAAAGCATTTAATCTTTCATAAATAACACATTTAATTGTAAGCTACAGTACACGTAGCCTATAATTATATAGATCTGTCAGCCAGTTAGTGACAGACAGACAGACAGACAGACAGACAGACAGACAGATAGATAGATAGATAATAGATAGATAGATAGATAGATAGATAGATAGATAGATAGATAGATAGATAGATAGATAGATAGATAGATAGATAGATAGATAGATAGATAGATAGATAGATAGATAGATAGATAGATGATAGATAGATGATAGATAGATGATAGATAGATGATAGATAGATAGATAGATAGATAGATAGATAGATAGATAGATAGATGATAGATAGATAGATGATAGATAGATGATAGATAGATGATAGATAGATGATAGATGATAGATGATAGATGATAGATAGATAGATAGATAGATAGATGATAGATAGATAGATAGATAGATAGATAGATAGATAGATAGATAGATAGATAGATAGATAGATAGATAGATAGATAGATAGATAGATAGATAGATAGATAGATAGATAGATAGATAGATGATAGATAGATAGATAGATAGATAGATAGATAGATAGATAGATAGATAGATAGATAGATAGATAGATGATAGATAGATAGATAGATAGATAGATAGATAGATAGATAGATAGATAGATAGATAGATAGATAGATAGATAGACAGACAGATAGATAGATAGATAGATAGATAGATAGATAGATAGACAGACAGATAGATAGATAGATAGATAGATAGATAGATAGATAGATAGATAGATAGATAGATAGATAGATAGATAGACAGACAGACAGATAGATAGATAGATAGATAGATAGATAGATAGACAGACAGATAGATAGATAGATAGATAGATAGATAGATAGATAGATAGATAGATAGATAGATAGATAGATAGATAGATAGATAGACAGATAGATAGATAGATAGATAGATAGATAGATAGATAGATAGACAGACAGACAGACAGACAGATAGATAGATAGATAGACAGATAGACAGATAGACAGATAGACAGATAGATAGATAGATAGATAGATAGATAGATAGATAGATAGATAGATAGATAGATAGATAGATAGATAGATGATAGATAGATAGATGATAGATAGATAGATGATAGATAGATAGATAGATAGATAGATAGATAGATAGATAGATAGATAGATAGATAGATAGATAGACAGATAGACAGATAGACAGATAGACAGATAGATAGATAGATAGATAGATAGATAGATAGATAGATAGATAGATAGATAGATAGATAGATAGATATATAGATATATAGATAGATAGATAGATAGATTGATCATAGATGGATGATTTAATTATTTGAGGACGTTCGTTCATGTTTCCGCGAGCCTTTTCACAGCTGCTGCTGACCGAAGTTCTCTTTATCCTTTATAGTGAGACGAGCCAAACCCTGCCAGCCAGTCAGTCAGGAAACAGATACAGAGAGCAGTGAGGCCCAAATAGCGAGAGTGTAATCCTGAACAGTGGATGCAAATACATCTTAAATTCAGCTTAACCTGATAGATTTTTTTCTCTAGAAAAGAAACAATTACTGGTAACATTGTGCATTATAGGACATGAGCCTCCTCTAGATGGGGTTTAAATTTGATCGATCGATCGTAACTATATGTATACTTCATATAAACTTTGTTTCACTTGTCAAACATTACTATATGTGTCTCTTATAGGATTTATATAACTGAAAACATTTTTATTTTAATTAACAAACAAAGATTTATACAGGAAAATCATGAAAATTAACAAGGCTGTCCAAACATTTGCATCCAACTGTATTTTTTACCATACTGTTAGATTCACACATCCATAAAGACTTAATTAATAGTGCACTTGAACTGTATTGCCCCACAACGTCATCATCAGCCTGCATTTATTGTGTGGTTTTTGCCAGCTTGTACTTGTGCGTAGAAATGTCGTTAAAAAAAGAACAGCTCTGACCGTTCGTACTGTTACGACCCGGCTCGTGGGATCGCAACATTAGGAGGAGGTTTAGACAAGTTGTAGGAGATAAGAGTCTTTTTCACTTTAAGATCAACCTCCAAAGGGCCTCAACAACTGCCACACAGGCACAGGCTATCAAGTAGACCTCTCTGATCACTCTCTCTTTGGAGTTGCACAAAACAGCCTTTTATGCTGCACCCACAGGTGTAATTTGTTAATAAAACACCATATTATCTTTGTTCTGTAAAGAATGTGAAACTGCATAAAACCAACATCGGACTGACAAAAAAATAGAACAGTTCTTATATGTGAAGCCAAATCTGTTTGTATTAATGTGGAGTTTGTCTGTATATTTCCTTAGTTGTTATCTAAATACATTCTTTGAATCAAAATATTGCTTGGTGTATTTCAATAAAGTTCTTATATTTTATTTTGCCCCATTTCATCAACATCAAGAGCTTTTGAGGGCCACCGTTAATCATTTGCTGATATTTTACATTTCCTTTAGAAATTCAAACATATTTTCTCCAAAAAGTGTTGATTTTTGGACTACAGGACTACAACCGCTAAGACTACCACCGCAAATTTGTTCTGACCAATCAAAATCATAACGTGATAACGTCACTTCTGTAAGCTTCATGTTCAGCCAATCAACTACTTTGACGTCATCGGCAGTCGAAGGACCCCGAGCCGATCCTGCACCGACAACGGCCGTGATGCTCTTGGATGAAAACATCTGCCTCTTTAGCTCCTGATCAGCTGATGACAGCTTCAACACACCGCACAGCTTAACGCACGCATTTTCTTATCAGTAACATAAACGACAGTTTGATAAAAGAAGACAGTAATTAATCAGATTGCTCGTTACTGAAAAAAAAATTTTTATTAATGCGGTTATTCCCAGGGGCGGCGTTAGGCCCGGCTACTTGGGCTCAAGCCCCGAATGTTTTATGAAAAGCCCCGGATCTAAATCGCGGAAGTAACATGCAGTACCAAAGTCCAACAGAGAGGGAGCAGCTGGCAGTTTGTATACAGCCTGCCTGAGCCTCCACCACTGAAGAAGAAGCCCTTCAGCAGCCGGCTTCTTCTACACTCTCTGCCTGAAACGCAAATGTAAAGATGGACATAAGGACATGTTTTAGACCAAAAGTACGGCGACAGAACCCCAGCTTTGATGAGACTGGTGTTGACTCAGGTTTGTGAGTCTTATTTGAAAATATTTGTTGTGCTGCTAGTTTGCCTAAAGTTAGCTTACTATCAGGTAAAGTTGTTGGAGAAAGAACGGGAATATTTACTATCATCTCACACTAAACACTAACAGGAACAATACTCTGCCCTGAAAATGCTTAATATGTAGCTTCAGATTAAAAATTATGTGGTACAAGACGAATATATATTATGTTAATTAGTCACGTGTGTGTGTGTTAAGCCCCAGATCTTCTTCAGTCCTAAATCCGCCCCTGGTTATTCCCATCACTGCTGTTGGGTCTACAGCAGGCAGTGACTGAGACAGTGAGAACACTGAGGGTCTCCGCCCACCCGGCCAATCATCATCGTGTTTGTAAGCGCGTTACCGACACCTCTCTCTCCCTGGCTGCAGCTGAAGTGTGGCGGTCAGAAAGCCTCACACTGTTGCTCAACGCTCGACAAGCACATAGTAACGCACAACTTTCCGTCCCCAGTAACGGCCTTGCAACAGTGGGAAAAGTAATTAATTAGATTATTCCGTTACACCCCCCCCCCCCCCAAAAAAAAGAACGCCGTTAGTAACGTCGTTATTTTAAACGGCGTTATTCCCATCACTGGGCACGACCCTTGAAATCCACAGAATCTCCTGAATGAAAAAAGACGCTGATAATAATGGATCCTTCTGCCCCTCAAGGAGGTACGTCCCACTACTTGACAAGCACAGGAGCGGTTTCCTTGAACTGTGATCCTCCACAGAGCCTCATATGATTTTATTAAATTGAATGGGTTTATATTGTGTTTAGTCTGCAGCTCTCGGATGTGGAAGAAATGAAAAGCAAATATAGAATCGGACTGACTCTGGTTGGGTTCAGGACATTCATAGAGATTCGTGAATAATCACAGTAAGCAGCAGAAGTGTGATTTTTTATATGAGCTCTCACCTTCAGATGATTCACAGCTTTCTTGACATTCCAGTTGTGGTTCTGGAGGGCAGCTTGACACTCTTCTATAGTCACGCCATGAACCGCCTCCTGCACCTAAAGCCACACAGCACCATGAGTTTCTGGTTCCTCCCGTTTCCTGACTTGGGTTTGAAAAATATATAAGCACCAGGAACACCTCCCTCTGAGATCTTCCTAGTTGAAGGACACCATAAGAAGTGTTTATGTCAGAGTTTCACCTTAAAGCTACAAAAATCAAAGTGCAGTTCTAAAAAAAACAATTGTTTCAGCCAGAGCTCCTTTTGCTCTTTTGTTCTAATCAATCGATGAACGAGTCTAGAATCAATGGAGAAAAAAACGGTCTCTGTATTAATAACTTGCATCGCCACCACCATCGTTTAACTGAGCAGTGCACACGCCCGTAGGCATCGATCTGCTCCTCCACGCGGTCGATAAGGTTCTGGTTCAGTCTGAAGCAGAATTATTCAACCAGCACAAAGAAAAACCAACAGTTTTCTGTCTTTCTCCTCTCAAATTCAATCCACAGGAACAAATGTCAGATTTAACTAAAAAGAGTTGCAATAACTTATGAGTAGCGATGCAACGATACCACTTTTTTCCAGACCAATACGATACCAATACTTGGATCTGAGTACTCACCAATACCGATTACCGATACTTCTACCACAAAAAAAATGCAATGAATTGGAATACAGGTTTTATTTTCTGCTCTGCTTTCAACAGGAAAAGACTGTGAGGTAGGTAAAAAGTTAAATATATTAATAGAAATTATCACACAACTAAAATATTAGGTGAACAAAAATGACAAGTTCCAATGAAGACACTTTCAGGCAGCTGCACTGGTATCGGTTAAAAGTTTTACAGTGAAAAGGAGTTTCCAAAAGTTAAAATATCAGTTCTAACTTGGTTCTGACCCGAGGTTTAACAGATACTGGATCACATCAGAAGTTCCAGTAAAAATAAAGCAGCACAATATAAAAATGTGCTGTTTTAATATTATCTGTAAACAAAAAGATCAAAATGAAATCCAAACCAAGACTTATGTAACATTTCTGTGAAAAATCAAACAAAAAACAAACTTTGCTTTTAAATTTAATCTTGATCTTATTTTTAAGCTTTTACATGTGATAAAGGCTTAAAAACAAGTCATAATAAATAATTAGGATGTGTACTAATTTACAACTTCACAAATATTAATTTGAGTAGAGAGATGGTTCAGATCTTTAAGTTATAATAATAAAATAATAATAATAATAATAATAATATCTTAACAGAACACCCTCAATTAGGAGAAATAGTGTTTAATTCTAACTTCATTAAAGAGCTAGCAGGTATTGCAAGTAGAAGTAATAGGTCAATTATAAAAAACAAGAAATTCTTTGCACAAAAGTCCCTCTCACATGAAAAGATCTCACCAGCTCTATTCCTGACTGTTTCAGTACCTTTCAGAATGAGCTGTATCAAGGCGAGAGTGTTTATAGAGGCAGACGAGACCCAGAAACAAGCACAAAAAGATGCAAAAAGTGATATTTATATAATATGTCCCCTCTAACACCAACACTAGGGTTTTTCCTGCATTCACATTTGCGTGGCGGCCGCCTCCAGCTACTTTTGTGCCGCCCCAGCCTGATTTCACTCTGGCCCAGCTTTATGGATGTTATTTTAACGGCAGTTGCAGCGTTGCGCCACTACAGGGGCGCTGTATCAGCAGCAGTGCACCGAAACATTACTGCTACAAGTCTGTGTCTCCACACACGAGCAGGAAGTACGGCAAGCTATTGTAGTATATAAATCACAAACGCTTCTATCTTTGAACATAATTTAAACTGGATTATTGCCAACCCGTACATAATAGACATGCCACCATTACAGTTTTAGCATTAGAAATTAAATGTTATTACCATTTCCAATACAAATGCATGTTAATGAAATGCATTATATTGTACTGGATATATTTATGGGTTATTTTGACTAAGATGAGTATTATTAATACAAACCTAAAATGTTACTGAAATGTTGGTCAAATAGTTAAAAATCGTCGTCGTCTTCCTCCGCTTATCCGGGTCGGGGTGCCGGCATCCCAACTAGGGAGCTCCAGACCGTCCTATCCCTGGCCACCTCCACCAGTTTCCCTGGCAGGACCCCAAGGCGTTCCTGGACCAGATTGGAGATGTAACCTCTCCAACGTGTCCTGGGTCGACCCGGGGGCCTCCTGCCGGCAGGACATGCCCGAAACACCTCCCCAGGGAGGCGTCCAGGAGGCATCCTGACCAGATGCCCAAACCACCTCAACTGGCTCCTTTCGATCCGGAGGAGCAGCGGTTCTACTCCGAGTCCCTCCCGAATGTCCGAGCTCCTCACCCTATCTCTAAGGCTGAGCCCGGCCACCCTACGGAGGAAACTCATTTCGGCCGCTTGTATCCGCGATCTCGTTCTTTCGGTCATTACCCAAAGCTCATGACCATGGGTGAGGATTGGGACGTAGATTGACCGGTAAATTGAGAGCCTGGCTTTCTGGCTCAGCTCCCTCTTCACCACCACAGATCGGCTCAGCGTCCGCATCACTGCAGACGCCAAACCAATCCGCCTGTCGATCTCCCGATCCCTCCTACCCTCACTCGTGAACAAGACCCCGAGATACTTAAACTCCTCCACTTGAGGTAGGACCTCTCCCCCGACCCGTAGTTGGCAAGCCACCCTTTTCTAGTAGAGAACCATGGTCTCAGATTTGGAGGTGCTGATCCTCATCCCAGCCGCTTCACACTCGGCCGCGAACCTACCTAGCAAGAGCTGAAGGTCAGAGCTGGATGAAGCTAGGAGGACCACATCATCCGCAAAAAGTAGAGACGAGATTCTCCTGCCACCAAACTCGACACACTCCACACCACGGCTGCGTCTAGAAATTCTGTCCATAAAGGTAATGAACAGAACCGGTGACAAAGGGCAGCCCTGGCGGAGTCCAACCCTCACCGGGAACAGGTCTGACTTACTACCGGCTATGCGGACCAAACTCATGCTCCTCTGGTAAAGGGACTGAATGGCCCTTAACAGAAAGCCACCCACCCCATACTCCTGGAGCGTCCCCCACAGGGTGCCCCTGGGGACACGGTCATAAGCCTTCTCCAAATCCATCAAACACATGTGGATTGGTTGGGCAAACTCCCATGCCCCCTCCATCACCCTTGCAAGGGTATAGAGCTGGTCCACAGTTCCACGGCCAGGACGAAAACCACATTGCTCCTCCTCAATCTGAGATTCAACTATCGATCGGACCCTCCTCTCCAGTACCTTGGAGTAGACATTTCCAGGGAGGCTGAGGAGTGTGATCCCCCTATAGTTGGAACACACCCTCAAGTCACCCTTCTTAAAGATGGGAACCACCACCCCGGTCTGCCACTCCATAGTTAAAACTATTTTAGCTAAATATCAGAAGGGAAAATGGAACTAAACACCAATCTAATGCATATTATTGAGCCTTTTGTAATAAGAGTCTATTATTTCCGCCTGATAATTTTGTTGTTTTATTTCATATTTTTAGCAGCAAACCAGTTTTGTTTCACTTGAAACGTTGTTAAATGGAGTATTCAATGAATCAACAGAAGCTTAGATTAGAACACTTAACGAAAACATATTTTGCCTTTAAAAAGTGAGGCAGTTGAATGCACAGAGTATGCATGTGCTGGCGCACGGTCAGGATGGTACCACCTCTGCCTCAGTTTGAGCCAGGAAAAACCCTGACTAACACTATTCAACCTTTACATTACAAACGGTTTCACTTCCGTTGTTTCCAGCAGGAATCGTGTTATTCCAGCTGAACAAACCCAAGTTTGACCACAGGTGGTACAACAAGATGCTGCATGTTTCACTGTAGATGACCCTATAGTGGTAAGTGATGGTAACATGAAGGCCAGTAGACGTTTCAGTCATAAACGGCTATGGAACTGGCCTGATTTGGCCTTACCTTTAGCTTGTCCATCCAGTCAGAAAAACCTTTAGATCTTCTATAATTGCTGAGATAAATAACAGTTTGTAGCATTTCCACCAGACTTTTAACGATCTGAACTGTCTCTCCAACAGAACATGAGCCAGGACGGTCCCACTGAAGGACTTTGCTTTATTTTGGACTTTTAACAAAGTTCTAATTTTAAATCACAAATGCAACAAAAATGTTTTATTGAGCGAGCAATCCAAATTAGAAACTGTTTGCCTTTGAAACAGGATGATAAACTGGATCTAGGCGTACCATTTTGACTCTGTCAAGAGAACTTCCTCCATTGTCTTTCCTGGTACAGGAAGCAGTGACCACCGGTGCCGTCAACCCATCTGAAAACACACGAGGGAGACTAACGGATGTCTTCATCTCTGACCGAGACCCACGCTCGCTGCTATTATTACTGGAGAAGCAATTAGCCTTCAGCTCACCAGGCTGGATGGGCCCCTGGCCCTGGACTGTCTGGGTGTTGACCATCATTGGTCTCACGGTGGCCATGTTGGCCTTTCGTACATGTCTGTCCTCGACGTCACCTGCTGGACAGGTCTCCGCCTCCCGGAAGAAGCTTTTGAAGCGGTCAAGGTAAGGAGGCCTCTCTGGAAGGAGGTAATAGTGAGTGGTACTTAGTTTTTGCCCGTCATGGACAATGGGCAGGATACAGGGGCCTTTGGTGGCAGAGTTCTTCCACTGAGCCTGGATCACTTTGGGTTTAGCATATTTAGGATCTGAGGCAAAGCTGTGTGTGGTGGGCATAGGTTTACCTGGAGAGGTGAAGAGGCAGGTGTGTGCAGAGGGGTAGGATGTAAACGAGGCCTGCTGGGTGATGGGGCTGACAGAGGATAGCTTCTGCTGGCTGTAGCTCAACAGACTGATGGGGCTTGGAGACCTGGAGCCCGGCTGAGACAGAGGATCCCTGGGAGGGATCTGGGGTGGGGTGGACAGGCATGAGGTGCCCTCTTCAGTGTCAGCTGGCATTGGAGAAATTGAGAGATCCCTTGGCCATCGAGGGGAAGTGTAGTCCCCCCTTTTTATGGGGCGAGGAGGGATGGGGACCCGTGGGGGGATCTGAGGCTTGTCCTCACTGGTGGAGGAGAAACTCTGTTGTCCATCAGGTGAGTTCTGAGAAGTTTGCGGAGACAGGGTGGAGATCTGGGATGGCGAGGATGACTGGCAAGCACTTCCTGTTGGGACCTTGAGCCTTCTCATGCACTCCTGTTGGAGTTCCTGAAAGATCTCTGCAGATTGGGAGAAAGAGGTGAGCATACTCTGGTTCTGCTTGCTGGGAAGAAAAAGGTTGTCTTCAAGAACTGGTAGGTCTGGTCCGCCTAAGATCAGGGTCTCACCCTCCACCCTGTGTCCTGAGGAGAGAACTCCATCATCACTGTGGACAGTACTCCTTTCATCTTCAAGCTGCTGCTCTGAGCTGTAGACAGAGCTCACCTGTATGAAGAAAAAGATTTGAGACTGAAAACAACATAAATAATCTCATTTATAGCATGATATGAAAGCTTTGTACCTCCACATCATCTTCATCTTGGGCTACATCACTGTAGGTGGGGGGTGGAGGTAATGGCCGTGCATCCCAATCAACTACAGGAGTGGGGTGAAGTGGTCGAGGCAGTGCTGTGGATGGGCTCCGAGGTGGGGTCTTGTCCAGGATGTTCTTAGTTTCCAAAGCTAGCTTGGCCAACAGAGGAATTTGGTTTTCCACCACAGGAGAAGGAGATGGAGGGAAATCCTCTCCAAAGTCAATTAGAGACATGTCACTGTTGGTGTGGTGGTCTGAGCCCAAAGTCCTCCCACCTCCATGTCTGAAAGCAGGGACCCACGCTGCCGGTTTAAGCTTCAGGCTTCTGAGCGAGCAGGTTTTCCTCCCAAGAGCTGCAGAAGCCGTATCCTCCTCCTCGTTCACTTCATCATAACAAGGTTCTGTAGATGAACACAAAAAACGTAATGTGAGTAGTAACACGAAGCACGGCAAAGACAGGGCGATGGGAAACAACGATTTAGAAAGAAGAGGCGAAAACAGCAGGATCACCACAAACACTGCAAAGGAGCGATGAGGATAAATGTGCAATGTACCACTGAGAACAGGATCTAAGAGGAAACAGAGGGCAGGAACAGAAGGTAAGAAGCTGCTCAGAGACACCAGACTTACTATTGATTAGCACCGAAGGCTGAGGAGGGCGGGGGGGAGGCTCCTCTGCAAAATTGAAAACAGAAACCACCGCCACGCAGAGAGGAAGCGCAGGGGGTAGACAGTAGCAGCGACGTCAGAGTAGAAAATAAACCGGTAAACAGTCAAATCAAAGTGCTAGGTGGTTGTTTACCCGAGTCCCATAATCTCTAACGCCAAACATACACACAGATCCATTGCTTCGATTTAAACATTACATCAATATGAAAGTGAACCCAACGTTCTCACCCGTAAAAAAGGGTGGACTGCCAACTCCAGAGAGGAGGAGAGGTCCTACCCAAAGTAATTCACGAGTGAGTGAGGGAGCAGATTGACAGGCAGGTCGAGACAGCATCTGCAGTGATGCAGACGCTGTCCTGGTCTGAGGTGGTGAAGAGGGAGCTAAGCTAAAAAGCAAAGATCTCAATCTCCCAGGCGATCTTCGTCCCAATCCAATCCTGACCTATGATCACGAGCTTCGATGATGTAAAGAACAAGATCATGAGTACGAGCAGCCGAAATAAGTTTCTTCCTCTGGGTGGGCGAGCTCAGCCTTACAGAGAGGGCAAGGAGCTCAAACATTCAGACTCAGAGTAGAGACGCTGCTCCTCCATGTCGACGAAGCCAGCTGAAGTGGTTTGGGCATTTGGTGAGAATGCCCTCGTTCCACCTCCTAGGGGAGGTGTTTCAGGAGGCTCCCTGATCCTGCCAGTGGAGCTGGTGGAGGCTGCTACCCTGCTGGCACCCAGATAAGCAGGTGAAAACGGATGGACTGGCTAGGTTTTTTTTTTTTTTTGGCAGAACTTTCAACAAAGTCTATATTTTTATAGCCACAGTCGTCACATACCAGCAAACTGATAAACATGTTTGATTTGAACCCACTTTGATATCGTCCTGGTAGCTGCATCAGCCGAGTAGCACCCAGATCAAAACCCAGAACATCAGGAGGATCCATAGGGTTCCCCAGGTATAAACTGGAGGGACAGGACATGCAGTAAGACTTTATTTAGAAGCACACCAGTGCCACCTTTTGGTGAGTTATGATAACAAATCTTCTGATACAAGATTGGAGTCTTTTTCACTGTTTTCTTTCCAAATGTTTTCTGAAATCAGACCCAAATGGGTTCTTACTCATCGATCCTGTCCGGGAAGCCCCAGCAGCGCTGAGGGTTGGTGTCTCCATGACCCGTGTGGATGAAGCTGTTCTTCAGAGGCCTGCTGATGCTGTGGGCTGACAGCCCCGCAACCGAGGTCACCACGTTCCTGGGAAACCGTCCCACCTTCAGGGTGCGCTTGTTTTGACCTCGCCACCAGTAATTCTCAGCCCTGAAACCAGTAGAGGAGTTGAATGTGAAACAGAAGTGACAACAGCTGCTGACACTTTAAACCAAAATGTCTCGTTAACATGGGAGAGTGACGTGTTCTGTTGAAGGTGTCCAGCCATCATGGGGATGGCGCTTCTAGGAAGTCTAGAAATCTTTATTTCCTTGGAGACATTTTGCTTCTCACTTGAGATTTTTCATTTCAAACTGCAGAGTTAAGGAATCTTTAAACGGTAGTGAGTTTGTTGGGAAGGCTGTGGTCACAGAGCAGGTTACTTAACTCAGTTTTTATTGTTTTAGATAAACACAAAGGAACAGCATCGGTGTCGGTGGACATTTTCCTGACAGTTTCAATAAGATTAGTTACAATTAGGAATCTGAGGATCCGTGTCTCCCATTTGACATGAAAGCTAAGTACATCTTACGGTCACGTCTGAGAACAGAAATGGGCCTACAGCCTATAGTTAGGTTGCATAGTCGTGGTCAAAGTTCTGCGATATGTATCATCCGTTTTTGCCAGGCTTTCTTCTGTATCATCTCTTGGGGGTCAAACTGGTGGAAGTTAACGATTAGAACCAGCAGGCTGCACCCAGAGGGCAGAGTCGTCTCTTCCCGTGGAAAATTCTCCACAAAACGGGGAACCAAGACCGGTCCATTCCCTCTGGGACCCTGATTATCCTCGTGTTGTTCCTCTTAGACCGTCCCCTTAAATCTGTGAGCTTGCAGGTGGTGGTCAAAGGGACTGATGGTGCCAGTGTTTGGCAGGCCTCGCCCCTGTCAGCTGTGGCTCATCATCACCAGCGTGTATGTGTGTGTGAATGGGTGAATGACTGTGTTGTGAAGTGCTTTGGGGGGTTGTAGATCCCTAAGAAGGTGCTGTAGAAGTACAGGCCTGCATTTGTCCTGTATGTTTCTCTGCCCACGGAGCATTACCGAGAGAGCTTCCTCGGCCTCCATGGTTGATGTCTGTGTCATGGTCTGCGTCTCCCTCATGTGTCCCCTGGTCTGCAGCCCCTCCAGATTATCCCTCCCAGGTCTTGTGCTCCCGTTGGTCTCCGCTAGTCACCCCTCTGCAGTTTTTCTATAAGGTTAAGCTTTTCATATAATTAGTGTCTTTTAGTGTGTTTCTTTCCCCACCGGTTTTGGTAGTTTTCCTTCCCCCTTAGAACATGAGTTATTTAGCTTGCTCTTGTCTTTAGGTTTTGTTTTTGCTCTTAGGTCGTGTTAGTTTCCTCTCCCTGATTAGTTAATTGTTTTCACTCGGTTTCTCTCCCCACGCACCTGCAGCTTATCTTCCACTCATCCTGCCCCAGTGTGTTTAACCCTGTCTGCGTCTCTGTGTGTTGTTGGGTCATTGTTTGTCACCCTTGTCTCGCTCCCCTCTCTAGATTTTGGTTTTTGGATACCTCTAGGTTTGTTATTAGGACTTTTTGATATTTTTTTGGCTCCCTGCCTTTTTTGGATTTAATCTTTAATAAAGGCTTAGTTTTTTGTTATTTCCACCAACCCTGTGTTATCGGGCATCTCTGCACCTTTGGGTCCTAACCTCCTCTCGGCTCACAGCGTGACACAGTCTGAAGTTCCTTGATGCACGTTTGGACCTCGGAGAGACCGTTCCTCTGGTTCCGTTGCTCTTAACTCATTCACTGCCAATGACGACTAAAGTCGTCATTTGCATTTTTTTTACTGTTTGAGCATCGGAACGAGCCCCCGCGCTGAGAGAACAAACATCTCAGCCCTGAAGCCGATCTTCATCCGCATACGTCACAGATCACATGATCAGGAAGCAACACATCCATGTGTTAGGAGATCGTTTTGGGCCGTTCCTGTAAAAAAAAAGTGAGGCGCGAACCGGAAAAGCGTCTGCCGATCACAATTCGACAACGGATTATGAAAGAACGGATAATGCTCAAAACACGCGGCTTCTTCCTGATGTAAGAGGTGAGTCTCCGCTTTGTTTTGGTTATTTTAGCATCGACATCATCCTAGCGCGCAACGTTCTGTGACTCTTAAAAAAACAGTAAAAACAGCGAGAAACGCTGGTAGCGAAGGCCGTTAGTGATCAGGAAACGGCTGGCAGTGAATGAGTTAAGTGTAATAGGATCGATTCTATTTTTGCCGGACGCCGGAACAGAGGGCGGCGCACGGCGCCGCACTGCCGGAGCACGGCCGCAGTAGTGGAATTGCTCTGATTGACTAGAACGGGACCGATTTTGCTCCGGCGTTCGTGTCGGAGCGGAGCGGAGCGGAGCGGAGGTAGTGGAATTTGGGGGTTAGCCTCCAGCTTTGCTGTTGACATCGTCTTTGAATCAGGTGAAGTCCTGTTCGAAGCTGGAGTCAAGAAACATTCTGTCTTTTTTTCATTTCTTCTTTGGGCTCTTGTATTTCTTTGGTGATATTAGTGAAACATTTATATAGCATTGAACTGCCCACCATTGCTAGCTGCCATTTCATCACGATCTCTTTTCCCGCAAATTTTTGTCTCTTCTCGATTGCTTTCATGATTCCGCTAACTAGTTCCCACACGCTCAACTCTTCACATTCATAGCTGAATTATAAATCGGGGGTTTGAATCCCCTATGCCTCCATCACACTGGAGGCATCAGCGCTGTGGAATGGTTTGCTTGTGTGATTTGCCAGTCCACACCAGGAGAGCCTCAATCCCTTCCATCCAGCCATTAAACCAAAAAGAGAAGAAGAAGCAGAAAATCCCGTTTGATAAAGCTGTCTGATGTCAACAGCTGCCGACGCCAGAAACCACAACGTCTCATCAACAGTGAAGCGAAGTGTTCTGTTGAAGGTAATCAGTCATCATGGGGATGGCACTTCTAGTCAAGTCTGGGAATATTTACTTCCTTGAAGATACTTCACTTGGGACTTTTCAATCCAAACTGCGGACTTGTAAATCTTTAAGCTGTAGTGAGTTTGTTACGTACCTGAAAACGTCTGCACCGCGGCCGCTTTGGACCAACCCCATAGACTAGAATGGATCTAACGCCGTTCCACGCCGCTGATGCCTCTGGTGTGAAGTAGGCTTTAGGATGGTGGGAGCTAAAATTCATGATGGTCGCTCGACCAGTCCCACACTGCAGGTCTTAATGTCCTATGAGACTTTTGCTGCAATCCTTTCTAAATGAGTGTGACGGCTCACATTATTTAAGGAGCTGGTACAATGACACCAAATAGGCTAAATGTGTTTAGATTTGATCTGGCTGCTGCTCAACTCCGCCACAGCTGGACTGTGCCTTCTGTCACACTTGATCGTTAAGATTGCCCGCATTAATAAAGATCTAAAACTTTTGAGCAAAGTGTTTCTTTTTAAACTGATAAAAGCTCCTCGAATAAGAAGCAAAACATCTCCAATGAGTTTGTACGCAACCAGTTAGAATTTAGAAGGAGAATTTAAAAAAATTACCGTATTTTCCGGACTATAAGCCGCTACTTTTTTCCCACGCTTTGAACCGTATGGCTTATAATGAGGTGCGGCTTTACTGAAGATTTTCCTTCACCTGCCACTAGGGGGCGCTTTAGCAGAAAGTGAAACAGGTGGAAGAAGTGCTCATTTTAATCTAGCACATGCAAGCAGCCGGCACGATGAAGAGTTTGTTTCAAATCCATACCCCCTCATCATGGTAACTACACGTATGAGTTCATATGATGCCGCATTTAAGCTGAAGGCCATGGATCTGGCAGTAAAGGAGGGAAACAGTGCTGCCGCACGTAAGATTGGCATGAATGAATCCATGGTTCGGCGCTGGAGACGGCAGCGGGAAGAACTCATTCAAGCCAGCTTCACCCGGGGATGAAGACAGCAACACGGACAGCGACGCTGACATCGCCACAGAAAAGGTATGTGACGAAGCTCTTCTGAGGCTGTTCAACTCCGACACTGAAGAAGAAGAGGACTTTAATGGCTTTAGTGCGCAGGAGGAAGATGAGAGCGAATAACTTCTTCTGGTAGGCAAGTGTGTTTTATTTACTAACCAGGCATGTTTTGTGTGCAGTGTTTATTTTCTAATCATCCAGGGCTTATTAATGCTGTGTCAGCGCTGTTCTTTTCTTCTAAACATGCAAATTACCAGTAATAACGGGTCAGTGCTGTTTTTATCTTATAACCATCCAGAAATGTGAATGCTATCAGTGCTGTTTTCTTTTGTAAACTTGCCACGTTCACCCGCTTTTAAAATTCATTTTGTTGAATTAAAACAACAACGAAAAACCTCCGTGTAGCGTCTTTCTGTCTAATTATCTTATGTCATGGCCGTACATGCGCTGTGCGCCGGAGACCTGCATGTGGCTGCTGCGCCGCGGCTTGTATCTGAGTGCGGCGTGTGTGTGTAGAAAACCCTTTATGTTTGTTGGTGCGGCTTATATTGTGTGAGTGTATGCCTAATTGTTGTCTTCCGGTCCAACTACTCGCTACATCAAACAGTCATAACTTTACTGTGGGATATTTGGAAGGGATTAATGGTGCCAAGTAGGAGGATTAAGCTAGTCTACAATAATCCAAGCAGAATTCTGGATGTAAGCAGAAGAGCAGGGTTACTCCCCCACCTACCTCCCCTCTATGATGGTGATGACATCGCTGACTTGGATCAGGAGTTTGTCTGCCTCGTTAAAGTCCTGTAGAGCGCACATGTCTGTGGGCATGGTCTGGAAACAACAAAAACAAGCCAAAGGATTTCTAAGGATAAGCTACTAGTGTGTGTGGTGTTAGTGTGTACCACTAGATGGAGCTAGTGCTTAATTCAGGCACAGACGACTTACTAAGAAAGCCAGTAATAAAGTAAAAAAATAGCAGTTATTAGAAGAACAGTCACATGCATCAACATTTAGCTTGTTTGGAGACGTCCTACCTCCAGCAGGAACTCATGGAGGGCAACAAAACTCGGTCTGTCGTTTGCTTTCTGAGCCCAGCACTGCAGCATTACATTATAGATGTCCTGTGGACAGTCCTCTGGCTTCGGGAGCCGCTCACCTTCTTTTTCAATTTTATGAAGAATCTTTTTTATTTTGGTGCAAACAAAAAAGAAAGAAATGAGATTTTTAAAGATATCCGTGTGACTGTGTGCAGCGCTGCAGGTGTGGTTTTTACCTGGCTGCCGCTGAGCCCCAGCCATGGCTCCTGGCCATGAGTGAACATCTCCCAAAGCGTGACTCCGAACATCCAGGTGTCAGTAGCATGCGAGAACGTCCTCGTCTTCAGACTCTCTGGGGCACACCTGCAGCAGGACAAAAAGAAGCCCAGGTCATGTTTTCTCCAGCGTATATCTGAAGTGGTTTAGGAGTGAAAGGAAAAGCGGGATGGAAATCGACCAAAAAGAAAGGTGAGACAGCTTGTAAATAAAAGCTTTAACATCGGGTGTTTCTTCTTCGTCCACCCACCCACCAAGCAAAGGGCACCTTGCGATGCTCCTGCATGACATAGTGGTCATCGTTGTTCGGTAGCGCCCTCATCAGGCCAAAGTCCCCAATTTTCACTTTGTGTTTTGAGGTCAGCAGGACGTTCCTGAGGCAACAGGGAATGCAGGCAAAGTAATAAAAAGAGATGTTAAAAGATGCTGAAGAACAAAATGACTAACAAAGCCCAGACTGGGACTAAAAACTCTAAAACTGAGGAATAATGAATCGGTTCAGTTACATTTGACTCTCACAGTTTAGTTTTTCACGTATTACAACCGCCACCAGACCTGCGCATTTTTATGGGTTAACCCTTTAGGCGCCATAGTTTTTTCAGTAAAATATGAATTTTTTTATATCGCTATTTAAAGAGCTTGTAGCTTAAATCTGGTTAGAGATAGAGGAATATTGTAAATTAGAAAAATCTTCAGTATGAGCCAAATTTTGTGATAGGATCAAATTCACTCACATAATTTGCATATTATGATGTCATCAGGTAGCAGCCATATTGGATTCATCACATTTGCAGATTTTTTTTTATGTTTTTGTCTTATTTTCTTAGTGTAGTGTATATATATATTTATATATATATATATATATATATATATATATATATATATATATTCCTATGTAGACATATATATAATATTTATTTATTGGTATTTTGTTATATTTACTGCGTATCAATCAAGAACACTGTTTTTGGTGCTTCAGTGACATGAACACATTTCACTCATCCCTTCTTTGGTTTATTTTGTTTATAATATATATATATATATACATATATATCTACAGATAGATAGATAGATAGATAGATAGATAGATAGATAGATAGATAGATAGATAGATAGATAGATAGATAGATAGATAGATAGATAGATAGATAGATAGATAGATAGATAGATAGATGGATGGATGGATGGATGGATGGATGGGGCTGAATTGATCACCAGCAGAGTTTTCACTTGCCCGATCACCACCACCACATCCCCCCTCCCTCCGGCACGTCTCTTTGCCCGACGCGGAACATCGGACAAGATGAGGGCTGGATGGGCTGCTTGTGTAACCGTGTCGTCGCTGACGCCATCAGCGCGCAGCATCAGAGAGTCCGTCAGCCTGACAGACTCTCTGATGCTGCGCGCTGAAGCCACGCTTTCCGTCTCGCTAGAAGACAGCAGATCATCCTCGGACAGGAAATATTCTTCTTCCGAATCAGAATCTGCCAGTACTAGACGAAGAGCTTCGTCAGCACTGAACATTCCTCTCGGCATTGTGTTATTTTTCCTCTACCGCTCGCTCGCTCTCACTCATCTGACTGCTCTGACAAGCCCCGCGGCTCTGCGACTGGTGGGCGGGGTTCAAGTTCTAAATACTCGATAAGTTTGAAAAGTAACACACCCACAAATGCTGCTTGGACTGAAGTTACAGGTGTCTGCCACCCCGCTGTGTAACGTATTAACTGCATGAGGGCTCATTTCTGCTGCTGTGGCTTATTAAATCCAACATTGATGCTTGTCGCAATTCTGCGACTTGGGCGCTTAAAGGGTTAAGAAAAATGGAAGGTGAACAACGGGACATCTTCAGACTGTTAAAGGTCTCTGTCCCCTACCTTGCTGCCAAGTCCCTGTGGATAAACCTCCTCTGCTCCAGATAAGCCATGCCACTGGCTACCTGCAGCGCATACTGACACAGAGTGTGGATCGGCACCGGGCCCTGTGGGTGAATGCAACGCAAACGGTCCAGCAGAGAACCAAGGGGAGCCAGCTCAGTCACCTACAGAACAGAGAGAGAGGGTAAAAACAGGAGGCCAAGGTAAAACAAGTCAAAGCTAAAGAAGAAAAGGATTTGATGATAGAGCTGGCAAGTCGCCCTGTGGCTTTAATGTGAGGCTAAATACGTTTATCAGTTTGAATGTTGGCATGTCTGTGTGTCCACTACCATCTTCATTGGGTGTGTGAGCGCCACACCGTAGAGGCGAATGAGATTCTGATGGTCCAAGGAGTGCATGGCGTTGACCTCACAGATGAAATCTTCTAGAGCGTCAGGTTGACTCAGCACGTCTGTCCTCAGGCACTTGACGGCCACGTCCAGCTGAGAGACAACAAAGATTCATTGAGTGTGTTCTGCTCCTATCAAACATGAAAAAGAAATCATTACGTCTCCCCACAACCTTCCCAGCAGGCGTCACCCACTCCCCTCGCTTCACAATGCCAAAAGAGCCATCCCCCAGCTTCTCAAACAGTGTCAGGTCCTTCTCTGGGATGAGACAGGTCAGGGCATGCTGCCGCCCATCGAGCAGGGAGCCACCGCAGGACTGTGAGGAGAGTATTCCCTCACCCAGACAAAAGGGTGGCGTGAGGGACAGTTTACGAAATGAGGAGGCCAGCTGGTTCTGTTCAGGGTATTCTCCATCTGGTCGCTTCCCACTAAACACCTGGAGAGAAGCAGAGAAGAAAGGGTGGAGAATATCATTATGGATGTGTTGGGTCTCACTGTAGGTGTTGTCTGGGTTCACAGCTTTCAACACAGTTGCTAAAACATGCAACCGCGTGGTGGATGTTTTCTGCTGCAGATGCAGTTATTGGCCACTGGCTATAAATGTAAGATGGACGAACCCTCCGCTCCATCACCCGTAGGCTTCGTCATGGTCTGTGTCTGCGTCTCACCTCATGTGTCTCCCTTTGTCCTCATTCGTCTCTAGGCGCTCCTTTTGTGTCTTCTAGCGCCCTCATGTGTTGTGTCTGCGTCTTCCTCATGTGTTTCCTGGTGTTCCCCGTTTGCCCTCTAGGTTTCCCTCCTCAGACTTCCCTCTCCCAGGTCCTGTGCTCTCTTGGCCCCCTCTTAGCCACGCCCCTGTAGTTTCTTTCTGTAGTGTTTTCCTTTAGTGTCAGCTTCCCCTTAGATTATTAGTTATGTTCATGCCTTCTGGTCTTTTGTTTTTCTCTTAGGTCATTTTCCTTTGTTACAGCCTTTCATTGTTTAGTGTGTTTTTCCCACCAGTGTTTTCTTCCTCCTCCCTGAGTTAGTAATTGTGTTCACCTGGTCCCTCTCCCCACACACCTGCAATTATCTCCCTCTCATCTTCCCAGTCTATATAAGCCCTGTCTTGTCTCTGTGTGGTGGTCGGTCCATTGTGTATTGTTGTCAGGGTTGTTACTCGTGCTCCGTGTGAGCTTTATGTCTCCAGGTTTTTGGTGCTCTAAGGCCTAGTCCACACGTAGCCGGGTTATTTTAAAACGAATATCCGCCCCTCCAAAAACTTGCATCCACACCACCTCGTTTAAAAAAAAAACTCTGTTCACACGTACCCGGATAAATACGTTGTTAAGGACATGCCAGACCTGTAGGCGGCAGTACTTCCCCCGTTCTTAACCTCGTCCTTCGTCTGTGGTCTTCCGCAAGGAGCAGTAATTCCGCTTGCAAAAACAAACAAGCAAAAAGCGCTTGGACAATTGATAAAGCGAGCGCAGCTCTGAGGGCATCCATGCTGTCGGCTAGTGTAAACACAGGTCGCACACGTGATGTCAGCATTTTTTGTCGCGGAAAGTGACGTTGCGGACCGTAAAACTCCGGTTTTGTCTGTCCACACGCAGACACCCAAAACGGAGAAAACGCAGATCTTCACTTTGGCCGTTTTCGTGTGGATGACAGGCCAAAACGTAGAAAAATATCTACGTGTGGACAGGGCCTAAGTGAGCTTTAGGTGTCCTGTGCTCCAGGACTTTTGGACTTTGGCTCGCTGCCTTGGATAAATTTTTGTTCTTTCATCCTGCAAATAAAAGGACTTTTACTTTGAATCAATGTCTGCCTCTTGTCGTCTGGGTAATCTGCATATTTGGGTCCTAAACATCCCCACAACGTGACAGGCTTCTGAAGAGCTGAATTGACGGTAACGGGGGTGAGCGGGTGCTTGTAGCTAGAAAACCATGGTGGAACGATTCTGATACCATCTAGACTGTAACATTTTTAACGTGAGGCCGAGGTTGAGGCTTTTCCTGGAGCAAGAAGAAGGCAAGCCACTAGCGCTAGCGGCTCATTTGCTACCTGTCAGTCATATGGACACGGCCCTATGAATTCAAAATTTCAAGCTTTAATTAAATCTAAACGTATGATTTACCAAAAAAATTCAACCCTCTCAGAGTGTTTATTGCAAGATCCTGGGTCTGGTCTATAGGGCCTTACATGGACAAGCACCATCATACACCCCCAGCAGGTCCCTGAGGTCCAGTGACTAAAGCCTACTGGTTGTGCAGCACCAGGCTAAAGACCAAAGGTGACAGATCATTTGCTGCTGTGGCCCCCAGACTCTGGACCTCTCTCCCCCTGAGCCTGAGATCAGTGGACTCAGTGGTCTCCTTTAAAAAACAGAAAACCCACCTGTTCAAGCTGGTTTTGGTGTGACTTCCTGTTGATTCTTCCTCACTACCTTCTGTTCACGCTGCAGTTTCTACCAATTCTGTCTTTCTTCACATGTTTTTGAGCAAACATTTTCTTATCCCTATTTTATTACATTTCTTAAAATCTTTTCATTTTTTTGGGCTCTAAGTGAAGCACCTCGAGTTTTTTATCTTGAGAAGCTGTATAAAAAATCGTTTTGTCTTTTTTTTCTCTACTTGCTATGACGGTAATGTTGACCTGTTAAACCTAAAACTTTTTTTTGAACCAGGCTGTAAACATGTTCATGTCTGCTGTGCAGTTGACATTATTACCATTAGAGTCAACAGGAGCCAGTCCCTAGAGGATGAGGGGGAGCTACTCTTTTGTCACGTCCGCGTTGGCTTCACCTCTGGCAGGCGGAGTTGGCCCCTTGGTATTAGCACTGAATGCTAAAAGTTTGGAAAAGTTTTGGAAGGTGTCCAGTGAAAAGGGTTCTGTCTCTGTCGTCAAGGCTCTATAGACGCTTAACACGTCACGTGCTCAACCCTCTGCCCCACAGCTTCTGGTCGGAGGGCAAGAGGACGGCCCTCCTCCGTTGACCATCATCATTATCTAACAGCATGGTTTAACACATTCAGCCATAGGCTGCACAAGTAGACGAAAGAACGGTAACGTAAAAACGGACATGTTTCCTGCCCAACATGTCCAGACACGAGCGAGCTCTAGCCATCTAATGACTCGTATGCATTTGTAACCAAGTTAAGCTAGTTTCCTTTTAATAAATACACAAAATGTGTTCTGTAATTGGAGAGTGCAGCCTTTAATGTCATTTTGTTTCAGGTATGTCAAAACATACAAAAGTTATTTATTGGTGCATTTATAAACATTTTCTGAACTGCTGTCACCTGAGGTCTGCCCCGCTTCTAATATCGTTTGTGTTTACGGTGCTCTTCAGAGTAAACGTTGAATGTGTTCATCTCCAAAGATGAACCGGTTCAGAGGACTGACGTCCCACAGCGTGTTAGCTATTTCAAACGCATCTGGAAGCTTGGCACCAAACACTGTTTGCTTTGAGATGTAACTTTTCACCATCTGCACACAGATGTTAGGTGATCTAAAAAAGAAAGGTTTGATTTTGTTAGCTTAAATCAGTGGTTCCCAACCTTTTTCCCAAGGGACCCCGTTTTTTACCAGTCAAATTTTTGACGACCCCCTCCCATTCTCTCTTCCAGTACAAACATTAAGAAATGATAAATGTGTTCAAGCACATTTTAATATGCTTTGATTCAATAGATAACAGTAATAGTAGGCTCCAGTACAGAACAAAGTCATTAACAAAACCAAACAGAGCATAATGTGCTTGACAGTTTGTATAACTTTTCTGAACACATTGTTTCTTGTAAACACTGATAAATCAATCATTCCTTTCAATAAACGTTTGACACATAAAAATACACTGAACAAAATGTACTTAAATGTGTATATTACTGTTTATACTAGATTATTTACTGTAAAGGCTGTGATTAATCAACCAGTCCTATCTTTAATGAACTTTTGACACTTGAAAATAAAACAGTGAGCTGAGCAAAAAGTTCTTAAAAGTGTGTTACTTTTTCTGTACTAATTACTTCCTGTCTTAATATCAGTAAACTTTTCACTCATGAAAAAAATGTGAGCAAAATGTAGGCTATAAACAAGTAATAAATGAAGTTTTAACCCCTTAAAGTGGAGAGGTCCTGGCGCCCCCTTGTAGGGGTCGGGACCCCCAGGTTAGGAACCACTGGCTTAAATGATGGAGGACTGCTCTGGGTAATGGCTGGTAAGGGTCTTTTCCCCCTGGGTTGTGCACATGTGTGCTATTACCCGGATGAAAACAATAACATTCAAGGGTCTATACGAAAACTCAACCTGTTGAATTAATGGACTCCGCCCTGTCCTGTAAATATGCAGTTAGCATCTGTCAGGGGTGTTTTAACACTTGTGGGTTTTGGATTGGCTCTTATAATTGATGCTTTTTAAAATCGTTCCTAAAGCTGCCCTCATGGTGCAAACTTCAATTTCCAAATTTTAACCACTGACTGATTCAACTTCAGTTTGAATTAAAGAAAAAAGTGAAGACTAAAATAACGTTAAAACTGAATGACGACATATAAAAATGTGAGCTAAAGCAGTTATGTGTGTGGATCGAAAGTGTAGCAGAGCAGAATGTGGTGTCACAGTCAGCCTCAACCAGACATGACATCATGCAACCGACCCTTTTAAAAACGCCATCGCCTCCCTGTGGCCGATGTGTGGTCAGCTGGTGTCTCACACGCACACACTCACTCACAAACACACACACACACACACACACACACGCACACAACCCTACCAGGCTGAGGGGCAGTTGTAATTATAGATGTTCAGTCTCATAAAAGCTAACAGTAAACACACACTACTTTTGATTCATCAGAAAACTTTGTATACCGTCATCATCTTTCAGTTTTTATTTTGGTAAGATAAATCAGAAAAAAACATTTTTTTTACAGTTGACTCCAACATTTTGTCAGTTTTGTATGAGACACTACGACTCGTGTGTGTGTGTGTGTGTGTGTGTGTGTGTGTGTGTGTGTGTGTGTGTGTGTGTGTGTGTGTGTGTGTTTGTTTGTATTGTGAGATGAAGGTGCACATCCGGTGACTCAGTAAAGTCAGAAAGATCTAATACACACACACACACACACGCATGCTTGCACGCACGCACGCACGCACGCACACGTAATTTATGAACAATAGACAATTAAATGCAAAAAAATTTAAGCTGGGAAATCCTTAGAATTGAGCTTTTCTCATTGGTAAAGCTCCTTAGATTTCACCAATTCTGAAATCTCTCCACTGGTTGCCCGTGCAGTTCAGGATAAATTTCAAAATTTTGCTTCTGACTTACAAATCCTTGAACCATCAAGCTCCTCCATATCTGTGTGAACTTGTCCATTACTACAACCCGCCGCGTGCTCTCAGATCCGAAGATAAGCTCCTCCTAGCTGTTCCGAATGCACGTTTAAAAAGCCATGGAGAGAGGGCTTTCTCTGTCTGTGCACCGAAGCTGTGGAACGCATTACCACTGCTAGTGAGGCTAGCACCAACAGCTAGCATTTTTAAATCACGCCTGAAAACTCACTACTTCAACCTAGCTTATACAACATAATTATGAACCTCACTTGTTTAAAAATGGAATTCACATTATCAACTTCCGTATTATTGGGATTCTTTTTTTAAATGTTTTTCTTATTTTTATATTCTCCCTGTGTTTTATTGATTTTTAACTCTTAGTTCTAGGAATGTTGTTGTTTTTCCTTTTTATCTTTTATCTGTTCTACATGACTGTCTGACGCCGGTTTAATTAACTAACATTTTTAGTGTACAGTGCCTTGTTTGGCTGTAATGCCTTGTTGAATGCGCTTTATAAATACAATGGTATGGTATGGTATGGTAGATTTATGTGAAACACAACTGCCATTAAAAAAAACAACCCTAAAAAAACCTGAGAATCTGGCCCAAGTTACAGACGTGGATAGGGTTGTTGCTATCCCATCTTTAGAGAAAGAAAAACCCATAACGGTCTTTTTCTTTTACTGAAGTGTAGCAGCAAACGTTTCCATCTGACTGTGGCTGAGCTACGGTGAATGATAATTAGGAGTCAAAAGTTACCTTACTCATCCAGGACTTCCGCTTGGCTTTCCTTCTTTTCACAGCCTCCCAGAGTCGTCTCTGCCCTTATCAGAAGGAATAAAGACAAATATATTGGTCAGACGATAAACCCTTGAAAGCCATTCTATGCAATTTTTTCATATTTTTAAATAATTTTCTTGAGCCAGTATCTGCTAAAATGACCCTTTACAGGGTCAACGTGAGCCCCACCGCCCTCTGGGGCCAGAATATTTCACCTGCAACTTCAGAGTGCCGGTCTGGTCCCTGTTGGACTTAGTAAAGTGGAGCTGACATGCCTGCTTTCTAGGGAAGTGAATCTTAGAGCAACTCACGATTTGATTCGATTCCGATTCTTGGGTTGCCGATTCGATTCAGAATCGATTCTCGATTCTCAATTTAAATCGATTCACGATCAGTATTAACAAAGAGTGTCAGCTCCAGGATGAACTACTTTGTTGTACAAGTTAGTTAAAGCTATGGGACATTTTTATTTGACTTTAAACTGGTCATGCTCCAAAAATGCAAATTTACAATGTAAACTAAAATGATTCTAAAACTGTAAACAGAAGCAATCTTTCGACCAAAAGGCAACATTTATTTTTGCTTACCTTGTAAAATATAACAAATCTGTAGTTACCTAACAGTAGCTTTGAAAGTAATACGGTCAAATACTTTTCAAGTATGTGTAGAAACAAGTATGGGACCGCAAAAGTAAACGGAGTACTGACTCTCCTAACAAAGATCAACAAAGTGCATCTCAAACCTGTAACGTGCCAAATATTTGAGTTCTTGGAATCGATTCTGAATCTTTATAAAGAAGAGTCCCGATTCAGACTTGAATCGATATTTTTCAGCACCTCTACGGCTTTCAGCATGTTTCCTGCATGTTTTTAATCATCACAGCTGATTAGTTTGATTTAGCGATGAACCGCTCTTGTAGACACTAATGAAGGCTGAGGAGACATTTCAGCTGTTAGATTAAGGTGTGAAAAATGCCGCTCTCACACCAGGGCCAGCTTGGTCCCGCCCAGGTATGGGCGGTTCACATCTGCGTAGCCATTTTTTTTTTTTTTTTTTTTTGTGCTCAACTGGCCATATTTTCAGACCTCTTCCCCAGTTCTGCTCCGGGCTGAACTGACCCAACATACCCACTGCAGACTGATTGGCCGGCTCAAATTCACGATTCCCACTGGGGGGAGCCTCTGATTGGCAGGTAGAATCAGCCAGCGGGGGCTTCCCGCATGCACAATTCATTATCATCCTGGACACTGAGGAGTAAACATCTCCTATGACTGAAGCCGTCTCTCCATGGGTGACAGTGGCACAAGAGTTAAGTGCTTTGCACATGATTGTAAAGTTGCAGGTTCGCGCCCCGCTCAGTCTGTCACTGTCGTTGTGTCCTTGGGCAAGGCACTTAACCCACCTTGCCTGCTGGTGGTGGTTGGAGGGGCCGGTGGCACCTGTGTACGGCAGACTTTTTCTCTGTCAGTGTGCCCCAGGGCAGCTGTGGCTGCAATGTAGCTTATCAACACCAGGGTGTGAATGTGTGTGAATGAATGAATGCCTAATTGTGTTGTAAAACACCTTGGGGGGTGCTAGGACTTTACCATTTTCTGTCTCTCTTACTGAGACATGCTGTGAGGAGCGCGCACACACACACACACACACACACACACACACACACACACACACACACACACACACACACACACGTAGACAGTGCTGCTGAGGCCTGAGCTGCCCCTTGTTTGTTTTGATACATGGACTGCAGTACCCACATTTGACCACAAGATGTCATGGGGCGAAGGTGGCACAGGAGTTAAGTGCTCGCCCCATAATCGGAAGGTTGCAGGTTCGAGCCCTGCTCAGTTTGTTGCTGTCGTTGTGTCCTTGGGCAAGACACTTAACCCTTCTTGCCTGCTGGTGGTGGTCGGAGGGACCGGTGGCGCCAGTACTCGGCAGCCTCACCTCTGTCAGTGCGCCCCAGGGCAGCGGTGGCTACATCGTAGCTCATCACCACCAGTGTGTGAATGTGTGTGTGAATGGGTGAATGACTGATTGTGTTGTAAAGCACCTTGGGGGGTTCCAGGACTCTAGAAGGAGCTATATCAAATACAGGCCATTTACCATTCTCACTTTATGCACCTTCAAGGTCAACATAGCAGTTATCATTCTTGATGTAGATGGATTTAAAGCGCAGGCGTAGGTTTGGCGTGGACGGAGGTGACGTGTCCCCACCATTATCCAGCGATGACCAAATAGTCAATCACCTGTAGCTCATCAGAGCTGTCTTATACCAGGTTAGAGCCTCATCTATCAGCAACCACATTAGCATGTAACATACTATAACTAACTATAAAACCACAAACAAACAAAAAACTGGAATCTGCCTCACCGGGTCGGCCCATGCCAATTTTCTCCAGGTCTTCATTCTTGACGTAGTCGAAGTGTGACAGCCGCGTGACGTTGAGGTCATCTCTGATCTGTTTAAAGTACTGCTGCAGCTGCACCTCCATCAGCAGATCCTGCAGCCATTCTGTCCCCTCCTCACTCTGCATGCTTCTGCCCAGTCTCTGGAGGAAAGAGGGGAAACAGCACCAGGTTTAAAGGCAACACTGGTTCAGAAGCTTTCATTAAGCTTCCTGCCAAATCGTTCAAAAAATACAAAAACTAAGTCACTGCAAACAAACAACTATTCTTTTTGTGTTACAAAAAACAGGAAACTGAACTCAGACCGTTTCCTCTTCTGTAATTGTTGTCAGCAGCCTGTAACACAAGCCTGCTCTGTTGAAGAAGGAAACTGGATTTCTAAGATAATATCATATCATACTTGTATTCAATTTAATGCCAAAAAAACTGTATTTTTCATCTCTTCTCTTCAAATCCAAGGAAATTTTGTTTAATAATCCACTACATTTTACAGAGACTACAGATTAAATGTGAATGGAACATGTCTGTTTTCCACTCAGCCTGATGTAAAATCAGAATTCTGCAGTTCCTTCCTTCATGTAACAACTTTTATAACAAACAAGTGGGATTTTATCCCAGTGAACTTGGAGAAATAACCTCAAACTGGTAAATTCATAACAGAAGGAGTAACAGTTTCACTTCCAAGTGTTATCTTAACCCAATATTTACAACATTTACAAAAACGTTGGCTGCTCTACGTTTCTGGATTGGAATGAATGTGTATCAGAATACAAACATCTGGTGTAAGCATTGGGGAGAGAGCTTTAAATAGGATGACAACAGTAAGACCTCTGCAGCTACATTTGATGGAAAACACAGAATGACTCATTAAAACGTTTTGACAGGTAGACAGGTGTTCGGAGACATTTGGGGATAAACCTTTTTAAAGGTGACCTACTGTGAGCAGAGCCGGATTAACGCAAAGGCAAAGTAGGCACGTGCCTAGGGCCTGATTGGCTGGATGGGGCCCAGACAGAGGAACAAAATTATAAATAAATAAATCAAAAATTAAATGTACAAATGTCCTATGATAGAATTTGTAGCTAGGACTCCAATCTACAATTTGTTTAAATAATTTATCAATTGACTAAAAATAGTGACAATGTTTATCTTAACCATAGACCGTTTCATTGGCTACGTCACCTCTGGGGTCCACGGACAAGTATACGCGTCTTTTGAACAGGTCTGATTTGGGACGCTGTAGCAGCAAGACTCCGCCTCCCTGAGTTTCGGTTTCAATTCGGCTTTAAAAAGGAGATTATAAACTACACCCCAGTTTTTAAATTTTGTTAATAGGCAACGTAAACGCGGAGTTATACTAAACTAAAAAATGACCTATTTTTAGACAATCTGATAACTTGTCAAAACAGCGGTTTAGTAATCTGTGAGCGGGAATGTGCTTGTGAACATTAAAAACCCACAAAAACACGAGATCCTTTTGCTGTTGGTGGACGTCTCACATATTCAGCTGATAAAAAGTATCACACGAGTAACGAGATGTGCGCAAAAAGGAGCCGCTTCGCGGGAAAAGGAGTGGCACGAACGGAGTAACAACAAACAATTAGACAGATATTGACGGTAAACTTAGTATTTTGGAGCGATCCGGACAGATCTATTGTCGCTGCAGTTTAGTAGGCTTTTACTAGGCTTATATAAAGGATGATGAGAAGGATAAATGTCCACCAGGCAGTTCAGATAGTACGGCTGTTTTTTGAACTGGAAGCAGAGGAAGTGGACGGAGACTCACAGCCGGAGTCTGAGGCAAATAGCGAGGATGTTGATGACGATGTGGCAAATCCATCCTTCCTCATAGAAGAGTTGGGTCATGATGAGGTAGAGGATGAAGGCAGAGATGCAGCTCCTCGGAGATCCAACAAGAGGAATGGGCGGCGCCGCGCAGCTGTCAGATCTCGGCGTGAGACGGAGCCACTCTTCTCTCTCCAAAATCCATGTATATTATTGCCAAATTAATAAATAAGTATAAATTCAGATAGTCCAGGTTGTCCTGAAATTAATGATACCCCATAAGGCAATATTTATTGTTTTTATTAGAAAATACAAAAGACAAACCAAAATGAGTCAAAAACGGTGATTTACACCCTGGATCCCAGAGAGCTAATAATTTTTTTAATTAGTTATTTGCTATATTTAGTCATATTTTTTATAAATGTACAGTCTAGATTACCAGTCTAAATGATAAAAAACATTCGTCATAAATGTTTGTTGGTTTCACAGTAAAATAAACAACTTTTTTCCTATTCAGATTTTATGTTTTTGAGTGATTTAAGGTCTAATATGCAACCCCTTTATGTCCAAATATAAAAAATAAGCATAGATTCATAAAGTCCAGGTTGTGCTGAAAAGATTGATACCACATAAGGCAGTGGTTATGGTTTTTATTTTGGAAATACAAAGGAAAACTCACGGCAAATTACACCCTGGACCCCAGAGGGTTAAGGCGCCACCCAATGAAGGACGTCAGAGAAGCGGTCAGAGTCAGAGCGGGACACAACAAAGCTAGCAGGTGTTTTTGAGTAGGCTAACTTTCACGATGCTTTCGGGTGTGGCAAAACGTAAAAAAAAAAAAAAAATGAAGAGGAACTAAAGAAGAGACAGCCGGGGGGGCTTTACAGAAGTTTCTGTCGGGCTGCTCGGGCAGCCGTCCGACAGCTGTGAACATGCTCGAGTCAGCAGAGCCAGAGGCCGGGCCCGAGCAAGACCCGGAGGAGACACAACCCGAAGACGCAGTGGAAGATGTGGCGGAAGACGATGTAGCGCCAACGCCGTTAACATCAGCGCCTTCACAGAAGGACAAACTGGAAGAACAGCAGCCAGCCAGAAGTGAGCCCAATATAGTCTTATAGGAGCCTCTAGACCCAGACAGGGTATTAACAACTAGCTACCCATCTGATCCTGCAAAGTGGTACCAAACTGATGAGTACTTTGCACTAAACTATCCCTCTCAAAATATTGGATATTCTTCTGCTTCACAGAGGAAATCTGGAGACATAGACTGAAGCTTAACCAAGGAACATTTCTTTAGACGTGTTTCTGCTGTGACTGAGGCCATGTGATGCTGGAAGGCTGAAGATTATCCCGGAGTAGATAATGCTAAATGGTTTCCTTGGTAAGTGTTGCTGGTTTTATTAATTATTTGTCAAATAATTTTATTAATGTTCAAATAGCAAAACAATAAGTTCACACTCAGAAAATTGACACAGAATTTCTGATTCAGCAGAGGCAACAGCCTACAACACATGACTTATTTTGGCATACAAACAACCAATTTGTAACCAAAAACTAGGCTATGTAAAATGTGAATGAACTTTTATAAGTAAATTTAGTAAGTTTCAGATTTCAATTCATTACATAACATCGATGGAGGGTGGGGGTGGGGTGGGGGTGGGGGGGGGGGCTAAAAATGCAGCCTGCCTAGTGTAGTCCATTTATTTAATCCGGCTCTGACTGTGAGAATTAATAGTCCTATAGTCTATACAAGACATGTTTATGAAGCTCTTTGCATTAAATCAGTCTCTCATAAAGCAATTTCAGTGGTTGTGTATTCCCTCTATGTGACATCACAAAAGGGGATTTTTTTAAAGGGTTTGTTTTATAATTCCTGAAACCAAACACTGACAGTAGTACTTGAGACCCACTTGGCAGCACAAAAAGTATTTTGTAAAATGCTTCGTACAGCGCCCTTCTTATAGTGAACATGAACCAGACCAGAATGGTGCAGAATGTTACCGTTGGGTAACAAAATGACAGACAGTGGCCCTACAGTGCAGATCCCCATCTGATCTTCCATGGCAGTCAACGTGTGGGTGATACTTCTCTGGACAGTGTCAAAGATGCAAGTCCGCTTCCTCTGGGCCTCTTTCACATGTCTGTGTCACATCTTCAATATGAGGGGGTAAAAATGAGACTGACGTCCTTTTATTTCGTACAAACTAGATGAAGACGTAGACTAGTCTGACTTCTGACTGCACTTCTTGTTTCTATATGTCTACTACTGGAAGATTCAGAGACTCGTTTTATTTTGTACAGAATGAGGGGAGAATGACAGCATATGACAAGCATCAAAATATACACCTTCAAATGTCTAATCCACATTTTGCATTTCCAAACAAGTCTGGTAAAAATACATTTTACGCAAAACTACCTCCTGTCAGGATCTGCAGGCTCCTGGTGCAGCATATCTATGGGGAAAAAAGGTCTCAAAAGGTGTGTGTTTGTATTTGTGTATATATATATATATATATATATATATATATATATATATATATATATATATATATATATATATATATATATATATATATATATATATATATATATCAGGGAAGTGTATTGTTGAAATTCTGGCGATACGATACATATCACGATGCAGGGGAGACGGTACGATATATCACGATATATTGCAATACATCCAGTCAGACGTTACAAGCAATTTTTTTTACTGAATTTATTGTAAGAATGCTCAATGAACAGTCCAAACTGGTACGTAACATGTTTAACATGAGGTATCTGACCCATGATGGAGGGATTTACATTTCAATGGTGGAAACAAAACCCGTTGCACACTGCTGCCAACTAGCGGGTGGCAATTGAATTGCACAAAACGAAAAGAAAATACACAAATGTTTGCATGTAAATTCTTTCAAAGATTAGATACATGGCTTTTGAATATTGATGTAATAAACACAGGAAAAAATATCACGATATATTGCCATATCAATATTTCCGATACACGGTTTTTGAATATCGATTAGGGTTGTCACGGTAACCGGTATAGCGGTAAACCCCGGTAAAAAAGTTGACAATAAAAATAACCGTCCAGTTTTTAAAAAACTAAATTATCTTGGTGGGTTTACCGTGGCCGCGGTTTCGGCGCGGTGACCCTTACCAGCCACCGTCGCTTCAGCTGAAGTTCCCGCGGCGCGCACACGCACCTTTTAGTTTGCAACGGCACCAAAACTTTGAAGCTGAAATAATGGCCGAAGGAGGAGACGGCAGCGCCCAGGACATCCATCAGCCCTCAAAGAGGACTAACTCGGAAGTATGGGCATATTTTGGATTTCTGAAAAACGCTGAGGGACAGTTA